CGTCCTACTAATCACCAGTAACTTTCTTTTCTTTTCTTTTTTTTTTTTTTTTTTTTTTGCATTTGTACAAATATCAAATGATCGGTAGTCTGGCAAAATGGCTTCCGCCATGTGAAAGTTTAAATGAAGCAGAAGATTATTTTTATTCCCTCTATACTAAAAAATATAAACCCATTGGGATTCATTGATGCTTGCAGAGTGTTTTGGAAATCAAACAAGGGATATGAGCACAGTGTCAAATCAGACACAAAAAAGGAAGTTCTACAAAGAATATTTCTACATGACAAGGAGTAATATTTTGAGAACCTCAGGTTGCTTCCATGGGCGTTTCCCACTTAGTACATCCTCTTGCACTCATGCGATCTCACCCATCAACCGTCCAACTTGAGTGGCTCTTGGGACTTTTATTGGAGGATGCTTTAATAAAAAAAACAAAAAAAAACACCTTCCTACTCATCACCAGTACTTTCCTTTTATGTTTTGCATTTTTGCAAATGAGTGCAATTTGTTAAATTGACGTCTAACATGAAAGTTTGAATGAGCCAGAGGATTCTCATTAATTCCATTCATGCGACAAAAAAAAAATCATTGGTATTCATTGAATCTCTCAGAACGTTTTGCAAACAAAACAGTGGATATGGGAACCGTACCAAATCATACTCAAAGTAATAAGTTCTACTCAGAAAGCTTGTACCTGAGAAGCAGTAATGCTTTGTGAAACAGAGGATGCTTGGCTGAGCATTACAATGTTAACTTCTTCAAATCTAGGGTCAACTTCTATCTATTTCTCATATCCTCATAATGCGCACTTACTACAAGCGCTTATGTTTATACAAAAAGCTCACTCAGTAACTCCCTAATTTGTGTTGCAAAACGATGTCCATGATAAAAAACAAAAACTTTTAGAAATATTGTATGTGGCGTCTTGTATGTCGTCGGAATAAAAGGCAACAACAATGGTAAAATTGTTGATGATGTAGAAAACCAACACTTGCTACTTAAGGTGTATGCGGAAATATATAGGAGGCATTTCCTCCGGAAATCAAATATGCGGTGCAGTTCAATTTATATTACAATTAATCATTCATGCAAAAAGTAGATAGGTAAAGTCAATGAATGAACTGGCGAAATCTCTTCACAAACGAAAATTTTAAAGTTGCATTAACCTACGAACCACTCGATGAATGTTATGATCCTTGTTTTATTTTTAATCTGCAAGTACTTTCAACTTTACATACAGTCATCCTCAGGCATCGAAATTATTTTGTTTTTAGTAAATCCAGGTTGCATCAGAGACGAAAGATTAAATGCGAATCGAAATATATATTTTTTTTAGAAATCTTTTATTGTTAACGGATGAAAACTTTTGGAGCGTGCAGTCGCAACGCTAAGGTTGAATTTTTTGGAAAATTTAAGAGAGTGCGTTTTTTTTACTAATATGGTAATTTGAGAATTTAAAAAAAAACAATGCTATATTGACCGATGAACTCCTACAACAAAAAAATTCTCAAATAACCATATTAATAAAAAACGAACTCTTAACTTTTCAAAAAAATTCAACCATAGCGTTGCGACTACACGCTCCAAATGTTTTTACCCGTTAACAATAACACATTTCTAAAAAAAAACATATTCCGATTCGTATTTAATCTCTCGTCTCTGATTCTACCTGGATTTACTAAAAACAAAATAATTTCTATGACTGAAGATGACTGCATGAAAAGTTGAAAGTGCTTGCAGATTAAAAAAAAATACCTTATACAGCTTGTCGTTATTAAAAACAAGGATCATAACATTCATCGAGTGATTTGTAGGTTAATGCAACTTTAAAACTTTGGTTTGCGAAGAAATTTCCCCATTTTATATTAACATTACTAATCTACTTTTTGTATGAATGATTCTTTGTAATATATATATATATATATATAGTCAAGTACATAAAATCTCTATTGTTTTTAACAACAATCTCTCAGCAAACTTGTGTCTGCCATTTTCATAGAGTTTTGTTGTTGGATGAAATTTGTGTGGTAGTTGTCGAATGACTGTGCAGAGTCAATTTCTTTGCTATTTAAAGAGTTCTGTAGAGCAGGGGTCGGCAACTTACGGCACGTGACACGCCAAGCAGTTTCCAACGGCACGTGACACGCCAAGCAGTTTCCAACGGCAAGCACCCGCAAATGACATCACTATTCCCGAACCAATAACTACTGAAACGCAAAGAAGATATTTATCTGTTTCATCTTTAATATATTCTAAAGTATATATATATACACCATATATTACTACAGTGTAACCCGGATATAAGAGAGTTGTCGGGACCAGAGAAGAAGTCTCTTATATCCGGGTTTCTCTTATATCCGGGTTGGGTCTAATTTATATACATTAACATAGGCTCTAATTTGAGACCAGAGAAAATCTCTCTTATATCCGGGTATCTTATATCCGGGTTACACTGTATTAAAGTTACAGCAACCGCCGTCTGTCTAACTCTCTGGATTAGCAGGAAGGAACCCGGGCGAAGCTTTGCCGAAGGGCAAGGTTTCGTTCGGGGAGGTTGACAGCTCTCGTACCCGCCTAGGCGGGTTCGAAGGCTATATTTTTGGCCAGGCCTACGGGCTCGGATTACCCATATTAAACTCGGTCTTGTGCCACATGCTACCCCACGTGTGTGTGGGGGGGGGCAGCTAAATATAACTGTATATAAAATATATTGTAGAACAGGTATATTGATCTTGACTTGTATTAAAATACGTATGCTCCAGGTACACTGAATGATTTTAAAACACTAAGTCGGCATATAGTTAGCAAAAGTTTGCTGATCCCTGCGATACAGAACGTAATGAATTAAAATCAGGAATCAAATATAAAGAAAACGGTGGTTGCTAGAGTTGTTCCCGTTTTATCATTTTCAGCTTCTGCATGACGTCTTGCGCTGTCCTGGTGAAAAAACGGCACCTTTTCGATTTAGCAAAATAGGCTTTCTTGAACACAAGTGTCTTTAAACGTGGAAAGGCTGTTGTGATATATTTGTTATACTCTTATTACTCTCCTTCGTCTAAATCTTCGGTTTATTTTCCACAATGACAAGCAGATCATCTTCAATTGACGTCGGAAGTTTGCCCGGGGCGGGTTGATCGTTTAGGTTAAAATCACCTCGACGAAATCTGTCAAACCACTTTTCAGTTGTCCGTAGAATTTGAGCACGATCCAAATAACCAATCTGAATGTATTTTCGTCACAGTTCCGACACTTATACCTTTCCGAAATTCATAGAGCAGAAAATGGCGAAAGTGCAACTCATCACCCTTCACCTTTACGGCATTCATTCGCGGACAACACGTCAACATTCAACAAAGTTTTACTTGCAAATGAACGATGCAAGATTTCAAACAAGAACACAGCAAATGAAAATCAACCTAAAACTTTTGCAATGAACTGATATCAGAATTCACACGTCGATGTATATTTCTGGGTGACATCATAACACCTTTCACCTACACTGCGTTTTGTTATGTGGTAAACTGCTGTAATGGAATGTCCCACACTCCCTATCGCCTATGTGGAATGACTATATTAGTAGCTATATATAGTGAGCACAGGATATATCTGGGGGCTGTCTTCGGCAACTACTAGCCTGTCACCCGATTCCCTGTCTTTTAGTTGTGTATTCTCTTTTAAAATAAACCTCACTTTCTTTCATGTACGCTTGTGTTGCACTTCCTCCACTGGAGTACTACCTATGTCTGTTTGTATCCTCTTTAAAGATACAACATAAACCTTGTCAGGATATCATGTTTGTCCACTACTTCCTTCCTCTTGACGCAATTTGACCCCAAGTGTTATTCGCTTTCTTGTCCTACTGTCTTCAAAATCAGACTTGTTAAGTAGGCAAATATCTTCCCTGCTTCTCTGGTCTTCAGTATTTCCTGTGAGTATTAAGTTCGCCGTGTCGTGTTTCCTCATAATGCATTACAGTAATCTCAATTCTTTCTAATGGTAAGAATCAATTTTTTGTAGTCGTATTTCCTTAAATTTTTCAGGTTTTGCACATGTTCTGTTCACCATATTCTAAGCAGTCATCGATAGAACCATTTCTTTGAATATGGGTGTTCGCTACTCTCATCAGCCATTTTTATGTTCAGCCATTCATCCACATAAAATATTGAAGACTTTCAACAGCAGCAACAATTAAAATGGATATCACGTGTATCACGAACAATGTTATATACCGAACAGATGAACATTAATGGTTATGTCCCAGACATCACAAATACGTTGGACACTATTGTAAATAGGGGTAATATGCTGTCTAAGTAGTCCACCACTAGCAGTGGTTTACCTACTTCACGCTGCTGGCGAGTATTGTATTTTGCTGATGTTATAAAGATTACCATTTCATTTTAAATCTCTGTTTTGGTTATTCCTCATTCAGTAACCCTTTCTAGGCTAAACAATCAGTTAATGGCATATTGAAAATTTTGACGCTCCACACTACACCAAGCAAAAAGTTAGGAAGGAAATACCCGTCAGTACAGGAATGGACAATAACAGCTATCGTATTTTAGAAAAAAAAGTTTTTCCTGAAAGGTTTTAAGAGAAAGATGTCAATCGTAAATTGCAGTGGTTGCTAGGTCTGTTAATGCCGATGTGTTTTTTTTTTTTTTTATTTATGCGTCTAATATTACCATTAACATTACAATTACTGTCTCCATTCTGCCTCATATTTCTATGTGAATGCTTAATTCTAGTGGTGTCCTTCCTTCTTTACATGTCGCAGAGAGGTTAACTGCTCTTTTTATTAATGTTTCCCTGTCGTTCCTATTTTATTTAAGACTTCCTCGCTGCTCGCATGTAGAGCCCATGGTATTCTTACTATTTGCCACCCCTTGGAGTTTTCAAGGTTTTTTTTTCATTTTTGTAAGTGTGAAAGTAAATAAGAAAAAAATGAATGTTAATAAAACCGAATGAAAAAAAAAAGAGAGAACGAAGATAAAAGTTGACTAAGAAGAAGGAAGAGTAAACAGATTAAAATTATGACTAACGAAGGAGGAGATGAATGAAAGAACAGAAGCATATACACGCAAAGAAGAAGAAGAAGAAGAAAGTGAATAGATAGACGATGATGAAGAACATTTGAAAAATAAGGAATGAAAAAGTGAATCCAAAAACGAAAGCGAAAACATGAATTTCAAGTAATAAGAAAAGGTAGAAATGGAGGAGAAAAAGACCGTGAAGAAGAAGAAGAAGAAGAAGAAGAAGAAGAAGAAGAAAAGAGGAAGGAGAAGAGAAGGAAAAGATAATCGATGAAGTAAATTAAAAAAAAATAACAACGAATGTAGAAGTAAATGCAAAACCAAAGCGAAAACATGAAATATTATTCGAAAAATGTAATAAGACAACAGTAAAAGGAGGAGGAGGAGGAGGGAGAGAAGGGGATGAGGAGGAGGATATGTGGTAGGAGGAGAGGGAGTGGTAGGAGAAGGGGAGTGGTAGAAGGAGGGGTGGTAGGAGGAGAGTAGGAGGGAAGGAGGAGAGTAGGAGGGGTAGGAGGAGAGTAGGAGGAGCACGAAGTGGAAGGGAATACTCCGAATACAAAAAAAAACAACAACAATAAAAATAATTTGAAAAAGGGAAGAGGAAAACAAAGACTAACGTGGAAAAAAAAAAAATTCCAAGGAAGTAGACCCAGGGAAAAGCCGACTATGAAGATAGAAATTGAATGTGTGAAAATAAACATATACCGAATGAAAAAACGAAGAGAACACAAAAAATAATTTGAAAAAGAGAAGGAGAAAACAATGAACGTGGAGAAAAATGAAGGAGAAAATGAAGAACAAGAAGAGGAGGAGGAGGAGGAAGAGGATGAGGAAGGGAGGAGGAAAAACAGAATATTTAGGGAAAAGCCGACTAAGAAGATATAAATTTACTGTGTGAAATGAAATGTACAACGAATGAAAACTTGACTGCAAAAACAGAAATGAACACACAAAAGAATTACATTAAAAAAAGTTCCAATATGTGAAAAAACGAAGGGAGTCGTGAAGAAGAAGAAGAAGAAGAAGAAGAAGAAGAAGAAGAAGAAGAAGAAAAATGAGGATGTAGGAAAAAAAGTAGAATATGAAGAAAAAAACCCAAACTGTGAAGACGGTACAAAGAATGAGTAGTTTACTGCAGGAAAGGAAAAGGAAACATAAAATATAATTTTGTAAAAATGAAGAAAACGCAAGAAAATGTGGAGAATAACAAGACATCGAAAAAAAAGGTCAACTATGAAAAAAGTAAATCAAAACAAATGAAAAAATTAAAACCGTCACTCGTGCAATGAAGGAAATAAAAAGTAGTTTTATAAGAATTCCCATTATCAAACTTATACCTGAAAGGAAACTGATTTCATTTACTTTTGAGAGTTAACCAAAAAAAATATTCGATTTCCCAGACGATGTTCTCGCAAAGATAATTATTTCATAGACTTCTGAACAAAGTGGGAGATAATTCTGCTATTGATGATAGAAGAATAGTTTTAAAGGTGCCTGCTAAAGTTCCATCTTTTCTATTGTCGACATTTTATTTTCTTGTGTCTTAAGGAGTTTTCCAGCTTCCAACCAACAATGCGAGAGAATGGAAATGCTTTTCTATTGAACAAATCTTTCAATACACCTCTTTTGCCAATGAAAGAAAATCTAATTTATTGCACCTTATTGGGATAGCATATATATTTTCACATGCACATACATAGATGATTACACACAGATATACACACGCGCACACACACACACAGAAAGACACATACACACACAGACACACACACATATATATATATATTAAGAAATGGACGAAGTCCGACAATTTATTTATTAAAGACATTTTTATGTTTAACGTTCTTTTTATAGATACAAGTATTTAAGTAAATGCTCTGTTTATAATAAACAGTATTAAATAACATTTATCGGCCTGAATGTCCGAGAAATTTTCAGAGAAAATATTCGTTCTTTGACAGGATTCGAACCTGCATCCTATACGGAAGCGTCATTTACGCTGACGTGCCTTTCCGATCGGCCACAAAGAAGTGTTCGGAAGACAAGGTCGAATTTACTGCTTATAAACTTCAATCTTCCATGAATCTCGTACATTCATAACTGCTCTGGCGTATCGAATGTAAACAAATGACGTCATATATTAAGAAATGGACAAAGTCCGACAATTTATTTATTAAAGACATTTTTATGTTTAACGTTCTTTTTATAGATACAAGTATTTAAGTAAATGCTCTGTTTATAATAAACAGTATTAAATAACATTTATATATATATATATATCTTATAATTATCATTTTCTATAAAGTTTAATAATTATATGCAAAAATCGAGACCTTAAAAAATTGTCCTTTATCCTTTCTTCAAAATCAATAATGAAAACTATATAAAATTCTTTTATTGGTCCTACGTTTATCACACTCTCTCGTAGATTAACTTGTAACTTATTGAAAATTAATTGAATTCGTGAAAATATGCATCATCACATGAGAAACAATAAAGATGCATCATCACATAAGAAACAATAAAGTTACTGTAATTAATATGAGACAAGTATTAGTAGGTACTCACTGCAAGGAAAGACTCAAAATACATAAAGCTATTGCCATAAAAAACAACAACTCGAGTAAAAAAAATATATATTTCATCACTTGAAAATATATAAAAAATGATTCTACTGATGCATTTTTCTAGTTCAGTCAATCTCGATACATGGTAAAACACATATAAGATGCATATATTTTAATTTCAGTCACAAGATATATCAAATAAAGTATCCTCTATCATCTTACAATGATTGTTAGTAATGACTCGGTTAACCGAAAATTGAAAAATAAAAAAAAATAAACAAAAATGAATAGAAGCAATGAATGAAGTTGAGAGACAATCGATAGATTTGGATTTGGTACATACAACAACTGATTCGAAAATAGGAAATAAGAAAATCAAACGATCACACATTTCGGTTGAATTTAAAAAAATCTTCAATAAATGAATTCTTGCTACTTAAGAACAATTTTACACACACACACACACACACACACACACACACACACACACATATATATATATATATATATATATATATATATATATATATATATATATATATATATATATATATATATATATATATATATATATATATAGTAGCGTCCAAAACTAAGGGACAATATTTTAAAACCTAATATTTGTTAGAAATAACAACTGTTAAAAACTGAAATTTTGACAACTGGTAGTCGTTATCATCCATAATAACATACTAAAATTTGAATCATTTGCAAAAGGATAGAAAAAAGAATTATAACAATTATTTATTTATTTTCAAATTTGGAACGTCCAAAAGTAAGGGACAAAATTAAGAAAAACAATGTAAACGGCAAAAAAAAACAATAAAAATACATATACAATCAATATTTAGTAAATGAGCCCTTGCTCTCAATGACAGCTGCACATTTTCGACTACAAGAACGAATCAGTTCTTGACAATCCTCGATACTAATTTTAGACCATTCTTCTTGAACCTTCACCCACAAATCCTCCGTGTTAGTGGGATTTCTTTCCATAACTTTCACTGCTAAGGTCTTCCAAAGATTTTCTATTGGATTTAAGTCAGGACTTTGCGATGGCCAATCCATAATTTCCAAATCTTGCTCGCTAAGGTAACTCATTACCACCTTTGCCTTGTGACATGGGGCATTATCTTGCATAAAGGTAGCCCTATCTATACCTGAATTCTGTATGATTGGCACAACATGATCTGGAACAATGTTTTTATAGATCTGCGCGTTTACACGAGTTTGTAACCGGACAAGAGGCGTTGTACCTTGGCTAGAAAACATTCCAAATACCATGACGCTTCCGCCCCCAAACTTGACAGTTTTCTTAGTACACTTTGCACTTAATCTTTCACCAATACGTCTCTTTACATTGCTTTTTTCTATCATTTCCAAATAAATTAAACTTGCTTTCATTACTGAAAAATACTTTTGCCCAATTTTCATATGTCCAAATTACATACCTGTTTGCAAACTCTAATCTCTTCTTCTTATTCTTCGAACTAACAAGTGGTTTCTTCCCTGGGGTTCGATTAAACAGCCCTATTTCTTGCAGTCGTCTACAAACAGTCTGTCTTGACACATTAACACATGAGGTACTATTCATAACCCTTTTAATTTCTGTGCAAGACTTAAAACGGTCCTTTAATGACATACGCTGCATTATTCGATCTTCTCTTGCCGAAGTTTTGCGGGGTCTGCCGGTTTTAAAAGCACTAACTATTTTCCCAGTATCATTGTAAGATTTAACAACCCTGCCTACAACACTCTTGGAACGTTCCACTTTCTCTGAAATCTCTAATGGTGTGCTTTTCCTTGTGTAGCTTCACAATAGCTTGTCTCACAGAGTAATCAAGTTTTTGGAGTTTTGCCATGGTGCCGGCTGATGCAACGTTTACAAATGACTAAGTAAGACTTATTCTTTAGAGGAAATCAAAAAAATTGAATATAGCATACTGTTTACATTGTTTTTCTCAATTTTGTCCCTTACTTTTGGACGATCCTATTTAGAAAATAAATAAATAATTGTTATAATTCTTTTTCTATCCTTTGCAAATGATTTAAATTTTAGTATGTTATTATGGATGATAACGACTACCAGTTGTCAAAATTTCAGCTTTTCACAGTTGTTATTTCTAACAAATATTAGGTTTTAAAATTTTGTCCCTTAGTTTTGGACGCTACTGTATATATATATATATATATATATATATATTAATAGTAATAGGTTGTTAAAAAAAAAAACGTCGGATAGCACAATTTGCAAGTATATCAAATCAAATTGGAACCCGAGGAAAATAATTGATAAAAAATGAAAGAAATAGAAACATCCAAAAAGGGCGAAATCGTCCAGTGCCTTGAGATTTTAGTCCTAAGAAAAAAAAAACAAGCAAAAGAGTAATAAAGCCATATCGTAGAGTGCTCATTATGCTAAGCAGACCTGGAATAAATAAAATACAATAAAAAATAAACAACCAAGAACAACCTACCAAGGTTTCACCTAAACGGATTTTCAGGGTCATCTATCCATCTATCTATCTATCTATCTATCTATCTATCTATCTATCTATCTATCTATCTATCATCTATCTCTATCTCTCTCTCTCTCTCCATCTCTCTATATATATATATATATATATATATATATATATATATATATATATATATATATATGCATACAGATTTTAAACAAATATAAAATTGTCCTTTAATCACATAGTGTTAATTTCACTATTCTGACTCTAGAGTTTCGTAGATGGAAGTTCCAACAATCATTCCGTGCACTCGACTGGGGTTATCAGCAACTGACTGTTTATAATTCTAGTTTTTATATACACTTTTCATTGGTGCAAGGTTGAATTTTTTTCTTTCGTAGTGTGTGTGTGTGTGTGTGTGTGTGTGTGTGTGTGTGTGTGTGTGTGTGTGTGTGTGTGTGTGTGTGCTCGCGCGCATTCGGGCGTGCTCCTGGTTTCGCTCATGCCCCCCACCCCCGGACATATGTGCGTACATGTTGTAGGTCGTAGTTATTTCTTTGTATTTCTTGTCTCTTGATACTCTTTCCTTATGAGATTTATACGTTTTCTCTTTCTTTCTGAAATATATATATATATATATATATATATATATATATATATGTGTGTGTGTGTGTGTGTGTGTGTGTGTGTGAAATATATAGAAAATAGGAAAGAACTGGTTAGGTAAATAATCCAAAGTTCTTTTGTATTTTTGTTATTATTTTTAAAAAATAGTGCTCGATACAAAAGTAGAGCATAAATATAATTATTTATTTAAAAATATGGTTCCAACACGCTACATAAGAGTTCTCATGTTTCAAAACAAGAGCCGAAAACTTCAATATAATTATTTGAATTAAATTGAATTAAAGTAAGCTCTGTTCCATCTTCAAGCGAAATTTTTTTGGGGAATAACTTATTTCTGAAATTTACGTGTTTTACTAGCAGATTCATTATAGAACAACTAGAACTTGTAAAATTTGGGATGACCCATGCCCTTTATGCCTACATGAGAAACTACACATTATTAAGTTTCTAAATAATACAAATCTATTAAACAATAGACATGAGTTAACGGTTTTTTTGCCGACATCATCAAATCTTTGCATTGAATAATTAGCATATAATTTTTTTTAAATCCATAGTC